CACGGTGAAGTAACATTTGGCCATCAGCGCGTGTGACGCGTAAAAGCCGTTATATGCGCGTAATGTTAATCTTTGCATGTATTCTTAAGCAGTTCAGGTCCCGTCTGCACTAAGGAAAAGTGAAGCTCATGTTTGGTTGCGGTACCCTTAGTGCTGCTAATGGGAAACTAGGGGCATAGGGTGCATGCTAGTCACAGAGGGCTGGGGACTTAACTTGCCTGAAGCTCATAGAAGCACAATGACCTAGAATAGAAGGCTGAACATACTCATATGGTGAAATCAAAAACAAATAACTTTGTCATGTTGAGATTTATATGACTGTGCTGTGAAATAAGCCTTTAAACCATTTGGTTCCCCTGACTGTTTCTCGGATGTATTTAAGGCTGTTGAAGTGGACCATAAGACATGTATCAAACTGGAGGCAAGGTGATCAGTGTAGCATTAAATCATGCACTGTTACTAATATATTACACAGCAAGAAAAAAATGTTAAGAATTTAAGATTAGGAAGGTTTTGTGAACATACACATTATTTCCCTGCTGTCTCCTTCCTCTTTTTTTCTTCTCCTTGAGCTTAGGTATTTCTCAGGGAGGCAAGTGAAGGATTATTCCTCTTATTAGGTGTCTTTGAGGGACAGTTTAGAGGATTTATGGGATTAATGAAGAGTGATAGCCCTAGCTGAACCCAATAAATATGGTTATATTGTTTAAGTCTGGGACATCTTGACAGTATTGGTTTCCAACCCATCTGCAGCCAATATCAGTGAGACTGACATGAAGTGTGATAACATCGAGGAGAGAATGACATAATGAAGCCTGTAGTTGATGGAGCCCGATTTCTTTCTGTTCTTTGAATTATTAAATGTAGTTTGCAGGGGTCAGAAAGGCAGCCTAGGGATGCTTACAGAAAAGTTAGTGTTAATATGAGTCTTAATGAACGGTTGGTTTAATATTAGGCAAGGTTTTATTACTAGAATACATAGTTTAAGCCTCTCTCACTCATTTTTGCAAAACACAGATTCTGTGGACTATTGAATAGATTTCATTTCAAGAAAACTTACTTACCTGGAGCTCAATATCTTTACCTATAACATTGATCTGACATTTGATAATGTGTTTTACTTGACCCTACATAGTCATAACTGCACATTGAAAGCAAATCTTTATCTAAGATCTGAACCCAGGATCTTATGACCACAAACATAGCACACACTGTTTTCCACCAGCATGAAAAGGTCATGTATTAAGGTAACTGCTTGCTGAGAATGCTGTTCCCTCTCAGTATGGAAACAGATTCTTAAAGCACCTTTACTGGACCCTAATGATTGACATTAAATCCCTTAGAATGACAGAGTTGAGCTGTGACCCACACCCACATTCTTAGTGAGCACTATACAGTAACAACCACACAACACAGAGTTCTCTCTGGACAAATTGATCTCTTTACAAAACCACTGCAATCTCTTCATGTTGGCAGTGGAAGCAATTCACTGAACTCTTGAAGGAAATGGATAAGGAGAAAGATGTAATCAAGGCATCTACAGTGAATGGACAGATTTTCAGACCAAGATGAGGAAGACTTGGACTTTTAAAAGGATTGTAATTAGATTTTTGGATCTATATATCTGTGCTCTCACACAGAATATGGGTTAATAATATAGGTGCATCTATCCCTCCTATATGATTCTCTTTAAAAATACCCAAACCATCAAAACAACCGATCTGACCATGTATACTTCTCGTTAAATTGGTAATGGAAAAAAAAGAACTACAACTTCCTGTTCAAGCTCTAATTAGCACACTAACTTTGTTCGATTCTCTTTACTTAAACCCTTCAGAAACCCCCAAAGTGAAGCCAATCCTTTTCATTTAACGAGAGTTTTGCCGGTTTAGGGAGAGATAAAATATAAAACCATCACATTTTCTTTCTTTCTTCAGAGGTCAGAGATATGAGATTTAGGCTCAAGATGAAATTAAATTGGTTAAATTGTGTTGAATCCCACAGAGCCTAGCTCATTACATCCTTAAAACATCTGATCCAGAGAATGTGTTTTGGACCTGCCACATCCTTTGGGTACACAAAAATCACATTTATGGGTAGCTTATTCTGTGGTTCACTGCCTGAACTGACTAATGCATGAGTGTCCACAGGAAGCAGCAAATCAGTTTGGACATTTGATATGATTTAAACCTAAGAACATGCATCATTTCAGACATGATTAGATCTGCATTCACCTTTGACTCTACAAACCTACCAAGACTACCAGGACACATCTATGTCTCTATAAATAAGTCATTTAATCTGCAGAGTTGGCGTCACATTAAAGAGCTTCTAATCCCATGCTTCCCTAGTTCCTTCAATTGGCCACCCATGTTCCCTCTATTAGCCGTTTCATGTTTTATTCACACTTATTTTTTATTCATTTCATTCAGACGGAAAGAGCAGCGGTAAGCCTATTGTGAGATTTTACCAACAGCGAGGTTCACGACCATCAGTGACGCAGAAAATAACTCCAGAATAATGGATTACACTTTTACAGAAATTTCTTTGGCAGTATTTATAAAGGAAGGATTTTTAATTGGTCTGAAAATGTGGCTAAGGGAATACATTGGAATATTTAACTGCAAAGCCAAGGACATCAGTTTGACAGGTAACATGTTTTCCCACCATGAGAATCTTTAACTCCCTGAGCATTACCAAAGTAACATCCATCATGATAACACATTGTCATCAGATATATAATTAGGATTTCAAAGTGTTACAGCTGCAGTTATTTGATGCAAATCTACGCGCCCCTTGCTTATTTCACGGGTAGATTCTGTCGCAGCTGTTTATTCCACGTTGACATAGAGGGAATATCCACTTGAAAACACTTGTGCACCTCAGGAACAGCTGCTAGGGAAGAGGTGGCGTTCATTTTTCAGTTGCTATTTCATTTTCCACTTGTGGACAGCAATTATTTTCTAATTTCTCTGCAGTTTCCAGGGAGGCTACGACAAAGACGACGCTTACAAAGATTACAATCTATGAAGGACTTAAGAAAAGACCACTAATTAAGTTGAACAGGCATGAACAGGCAGATACATGGGTTATAAATGGACTGCACTTGTGTACCTCCTCTATAGTCCTTCAACCCATCAAAAGGCTTTACTGCCTCACCCATTCGTACAGTGATGGCAGATAATGCTAACTCATTCTGACTTGCACTCAGACATCGATGGCTATGTCTTTGGGGTCCCGTATCTCATGCAAGGATAAACTGTAGTAGGGAGGCTCAAACCGTCAGTGCTCTGTTTTTTGCTCTGTTCTTTTAGAACTCTCTTAATCTGCAGCCAGCGTAGTTCAAAGTTTAATTTAACACTTCAGAAGATTTCATAATTGTATTGTTAGATTATTGTTGACCTCGTCCATGGTACAACTGAAGCTGAAGGAAAAAATATTGATTTATCATCTTTTAGAAACTAATCTGTTTAAATAAAAAAAAAAGAAGCTTTTTTTGAAAAGCAAAATTGAGACTATTTTTTGACACTTAGTAGACAAAACAATTACTCAATTACAAATAAATTAGAATTTAAAAACACTATTTTAGAATGCAAAATGAACATGTTTAATTAACAGACACCCATTTAGATGATGACACACTGGTTTCTATATCAACAGAAGAAAGGCCAAAAAGCAACACACAGCCCTCCTCTTGTTTTAGGATCAAGAGAACACCCTCCAAACCATATGCTCTTCTCATTCCTCTCTCAACACCTACATGCAAAGAGCATGAAAACCTCCTTTTCCGAGGACTTTTCAAAGCGTCCTTAAAGGAAATTCATAAAATCACTAGCTGGAGAAGATGAAGGGCGGCAGAGGGAGAGCATGCATTTCATCATGAAATAAAGTAAAGCACTGAACATCACAGATTGATGCTGAAGCACAAAGAGCAAAGCTTCATCTCCATCATCAGTCATTTCTGATTTTCATCTCAACAGTACAAAGGATGAACACATTGTAATGCATCTCTTACTCATCGCAGAGTTAAATTCCATCAAACTTTTATCTTCTGGCTTCACATCTGTTACTTTCCCCATTTAATACATGGTAGCAACTTTTGTCTGACAAGCTGATGTTTGGCTTTAAACTCTTTTTTTTCTCACACTAATTAAGAAAGTGTCATATTGTCAGGGATCGTAATGAGCATTTGGCTCAATCGCTCAACTTACTGCATTAACTTGTCAATGTTCTGGAAACATACAGTACATTTGAAGAGCTGAGGCTGTGTCTGATTTCTAAGTGACTCTGGTGGACTCTAATGACACTAATGTCATTACAATCAATTATGCACACTCTGCATATTAATAAAAGTGTGAGACTGTGTCGTACATGTGCTCATAATTACAGTTCTAGCTTGAAGCTATACTAATTGTTATATTTGCCAATGGTGGAGTGCAAAGTCTCCCATGAGATGACGAATGCACAGAGTTATAACTGCAGTTCTTCTCAGCTTGTGAGGCACTTCAGCATCTTCAACAGTTCAATTCAATTCAATGACCATTATTTATCCGTTAGGTGGTTTCTATGTGCAAATGCAGCAGTGCAAACACAACACAAAGCTAGGCAGACAGAAAAAGAAGAAAATATACCAGTGCAGTTTAAAATATTGCCAATAAGAGTAAGTTGGACTATAAATGTCTATGAATGAGTAAATAACTGCTTGTAACTGTTGTATTTTATACATTAGACTTCTTCATTTCTCAGAATGTAAAGATCACATAACTAAAAAAAGGTTTTTGTCATGGATACAGATATATTTTTCTTGTTCTATATTGCAAAGTCTTTTTCAATGTTTTCAGGGAAATCATTTTCTTCTTTCTTCAACTCTTAAGTAGCAAACGTTTGACCTCTGAACAACAGCACTAGTTTGGTTACAATTATGAAATTCCTTAATGGAAAGCAATTTGATTCGCATGAAGTAATCTGCCTGTCTTTCTTCTTTTGTTTTTAGGTTTAAAATGAACGAAGGACTTGTGAACAACTTGACTCAACTGTATGACAACTGGACTCTTTATAACTCCTCTGAGGAGTCCGTCATACCCAGGAACAACATCACATATGTCGGATTTTACCTGCATCAGCCGTCCACAGCAGCCATCTTCATTGTGTCCTACCTGCTCATCTTCCTTGTGTGCATGGTGGGGAACGGAGTGGTGTGTTTCATCGTTCTGAGGAGCAAAAACATGCGGACTGTCACCAACTTGTTCATCCTAAACCTCGCTGTGAGTGACCTGTTGGTTGGGATTTTCTGCATGCCCACAACACTACTAGACAACATAATAACAGGTGAGCAGGACAGTAAGACGGTTTCCTTAAAACTCTTATGCTGTGTGAAAAAAGTGGGAATTTTTAACAGAGTTGACTGCATGGTTATACATAATTCTACTAGTTAATTGGTTGTTCTAACACTTCGGTCCAGGCTAATATCTGGGCAATTATTGGCCTGGTTGCTGTAATGCTTGTTACAGTTATTCATGCTTTCATGAGGACAGGTCTGCTATGTGACCCTACCAACACATACTCTCATGACAAGAATCCTCAAAAGATGTAACCCAATAGCCATAACTATTCAGTAAATGTCTATGTAATTTAGTTAAGGAATTCATGTTACACAAATGCATCACTCCCCATGGCATTGGTTATTTCCAGGCTTGTACTCTAGGACAACTAGGCTGAAATTTTGTGGTTTGAAGAGGAAAATCTAAACATCTGTTAAATAGGGAACTATTTTTTTTTTTTTAAAGATTTATTTTTTGGGCTTTTTGTGCCTTTAATGCAGAGATAGGACAGTGGATAGAGTCGGAAACCAAGGAGAGAGAGTGGGGAATGACATGCAGAAAGAGGCCACGGGTGGAAGTGAACCCGGGCTTACCCGCTCAAGACGAGAGCCTCAACACATGGGACGTGCGCCCTAACCATTGCGCCACCAGCGCGCCCTAATAGGGAACTATTTTGATAAATTACATTTTACTGAATAACATTTTAACTATCGTTTGATTTGCTGCATTGAGCATTAAAATTTGGAATTTCATCTTTCAAACAAATATCCCCTGATGACAGGCTGTTACTTTATGTCCTGGTTTGAATCTGTTCTTTTGTGTTATTCAAATATTTTCAATCATCTCTCTATCATCTACATTGTTCTTAGATTTGTGTTGCCAGGCTATAACCGTTTTATGTGGAATCGCTATTTTTTTTTCTTTTTAATTACATCATGATGACATTCATTATGGTGTTTTAAACACATGCCTCCTTGTGTTGTGTGTCAACTGTTTAAGTTGTAGGGAAGGCCTAGTCCTATAATGAATTCATCATTTATGGGATTAACACTTGAGCTCTACAGACTGAAACTCCTTTGTTAACCATTTGAATTATCCAGCATCCAAGATAGATTGTAAGCATTTAAGTTCCTTTGGTATTTTATGGCTCTTTGAACAGAGTTTAACAATAATAACTTGTTTATACTACTGGCGATATAGTAAACTGTAATCGTTTTTCCCAGTTGCCACCCTCAGGCCTAAATTCACACAAGGCAAGAGAAAAAAAAACAGATTTCTGCAGCAAGGCCGTATCTTTATTTCTCCTCCAAACAACAATTTTGTTTTCTCTTGTGTAATGAAGCGTCACAGCTTGTCAGAGCTGCTAGCCTTTTAAATCCTATGATTAACATTCATCCCTAACCCCCTCATCAGTGATAATACTATATTCAGTGCAGGGCTGCCTTTCCTTGTGAATTTAGACACCATAAGTATAGCCCAATGAAGTATACATTGAAGCCATCCCACACAACACGAACCTCGTGATGCCTATTGAATGATGTATTGTTTTAGCAGCCTGTGGTGATCTAAAGCAAGACATAAAGCTCAGGGGGGATGACATTGTGGTTTGTCTTTGAGGGAGCAGTTATTCCTGATATACATGAATTAGAGCAGAACTTTTACAAATTGTGTTCATTGGGCTTGACAGTCGGCTCTCCATGACACAAATTTATCACGAGCAAAATGTAGCCTTGTATGGTTAACTATAATAATGCCATGTGAATAACAAAATAATTTGTTGTGAATGTAGTGACTGTGAATCATCAACTAAATTGCTTTATTCACCTCCAGAGAACATTTAGGAGACGCTAATGTGAATAAATAGATACTTACACACAATTCCTTTCTCTTCACAATAGCAGCATTATTGTCTTAATCAAGAGCATGTCAGACCTTGACATTGAGTTAAGGGAAATCCAGCAGGCAGAGAGCTTTGTATGATTAAATCCCTGGGACAATGACGTAACCTAGAATTAAATCCTGAAACATTATGGACAGCTTGCGAATCTCAGAAATAAACAAGAATGAAAGCTTATTAGTTTTGCTTATAGTTTATCACATTCCAAAATTATCAAAAGTTTTAGATTAAGCTCTTTGGCAGAGAATGTCTATCCTCAGCTAAATTAAGCAGAGAGCTGTGATCAACATCTGCTGCTCAGTGCATTATGTTACCAGGCTTCCTATCCTAAAGCATTATTATTTCCTCTTTTTAAGGCAAAAACAGAATACGTTTGAGTGCAGGTTGAATGGAGTGCATAAGGTGTGCACAAGTTTAAAATGGAAATGTGCTTTCTAATTGACACTTAAAGTAGAGGTCCTATGGCAGCAGATGAGTTGAACCTTTCAACATAAATAGACTGTTTGATGCCAGAATTTAAAACTTTGGCTCAGTACTACTATAAAAAACAATGCTCAGTACCTCTTTTACCAGGGGAAAAAAACAAGTTGTCATTTGTCAATTAATTACCAACCAACAATGCTTGGGAGGAAAACTGTCACTGAACCAAATTTACCTTACCTTACCTTAATAAAATACCTCTACATCATCAAACCTTGAATGACTATAAGTGTATCTCTGTTTCTGAAGGGAACCCTTCATTGTGCCTGAATTTAGATTGCTGTTTTTTTATCTGTATGGGGACACTCTTGAGCATCAACCCTTCGGCCGTGCTATGTAGCCCCCATCCATCAGTCTGCAATCTGTGAGGTTGGATTCTCCTCTGTTCTTTCTTTGTCTTGGGAAAACACAAAGACCCGAAACTGTGTCTCTGTCTGACCGAGGATTGGGCCAAGCCTAACAAAGACGCAGAGAAAAAGAAACACTTGCAAAGGATGTTGCTCACTCTGAAGCGCGACTCAAAAAAAATCTTGAGGCAATTCAATGTTCAAAAAGGAGCGAAAAGACTTGCAAAACTAAAATATGAGGATTTCATCCACAGCAAGATCAGCCAAAAGAAACTCTTTCAAACAATCCAGTGAAATCTGTTTATACACATTCTTTTTAGAATGTTAATTCAGTTCTAAAGTTCACCTGGGGATCTAGCGTTGCACCCTGTGACACCCCTGCTGCTAAACTGAGAATATCCGGCCCTGGAAGAGCAGAAACTGTGATATCTGCCTCATCACTCCCCTGTTGGGTGCACAGACTGAGTGACATCCTGTGACATACAGGCTTTAAAAGTACAAGATTGCTGCAGAACAAATGTTCCTGGCTTGAACCCATTAGTTCACGATGAAGCCATGCCTCCACAAACATGCACCCAGCTGGGCATCTGTTCATTCTTATAAGAACAAGCAAAGTAAGACATTTATACAATCCAATGAGAAAGGTGTTATTTGTAAAATGCTCTTCCGTTAACATGTTTGGCATAAAGGAGCATATTGACACCAATAGACTGAAGGTTTCAAACAGCCTAGGAGAACAAGTGTCAACCAGAGCGAGGTGTTAATGATAGTCTTAAACCACAATTTCTCCCTTTTACACTCTAACACCAGAAATCCCACATGGCAAATGGACCTGACTTGTGGAAAAGGAGATTTTCTCTCAGTAATACGAGGTAAAATGTTAAAATTCAGCGAACACATCTCTGGATAGAAAACAGACATTGTTGTCATACCAGGCCTTACACATTGGACATTAGTTGTGCATAGTCTTTGTGTCTGTATTGACAGGCAAAACTCAAATCACCAATTTCTCCATTTGAGGTGGGTTTAGGATACCCAGGAGCTGTAGTCAAATATACCCATGGTCCTCTGTTAAAAAAATAATGTTATCAGAGTGTCACCAAGAACATCCATTCAACGGACCTACAATCTCTGAGCAGCTGAGGGCAGAATCATAGTTGATTCCCTGGTCGAGTTTGGTGTCCATTAATGCAAACAACGGAAAAGTGTATAAGATGTTCAAACCTCTGAAAACCCATTTACTTGTATGTACAACAAGGTTGAAGTCTAGTTGCTCTCCAAAATCCTCTGAATACATCTCAGATTATTCGCCTGTTCTTTTCAGCATACCTTGTAATGCGACTTTCTTAACTAAGAATGCTCGTTTGTGCAAACACTTTGCCTTTCACAAATAAGAGCCATTTTTATCTGCCTCTTACCAACTAATTTCTAATGGTTGCCTCCCAAAATAATCTCTTTCCATCCCCTGAATTTATTAGATTCAGTTGCCAAAAAGAATTGCTTGAAAACTGTATGACTTTGATAACTTAGCGATGGTCAAAACCTGCTGTTGTGGACCAATATGTTGACCAGACTAAGACACACTCTGATGACATAGCAGCTCTTAGTGGCTACACCACGAGTGAACAAAACATAATGAAAACATTGAAATACTTTAGTCTGGAGTTAACAAAATAATATTGTAGATGCGCCGTCAAGTGAGAGGATAGAACATAGACTTGATTGTTTGCAGATTGAAGCAAATAGGCAAACAAAGGAACATCTTTGTATTCATAACATGAACTTTTACTAAAGCCTTTTTATCAGAAAGGGTTACATGCAGGTGACATTTACTGTTTATTGTCTTCAGCATTTAATGGGGCCACTTTTTTGTTGATGCTTCAGTCTGAAAACAAAGTGGATCAAATTACAACTACCGGAATGTCACAATACAAACTTGATTATAATGTCAAAGAGTTTTATGTAATTAATTGATGTTGTTTTAAAAAAAAACCCAGAATCTATTTATCTCTCTGCCCAGACAGCTAATTAAAAAGCATCCCAATTATTTTGAATAGTATTGGGATGTGTTTCCATTGGGGCTCAGCTGTTGCCAATTCAATTCATCAACTCAAATAAAAACCCAGCATGTGTCAGTCTGAGGTCCCAAAGGTGCCAGAGCTTGTCAGTGTATAAACTGTCAAACAGAAATCAGAGCGTTATGGATCTGAAGAGGACTGTGCAACATTTTCTGCAACACTGGGATTCCATAAAGCCTAGCTGGCTTTGTAAGGGGAAAGTAAA